CCCAGTGGCTTAAATTCACGCCAGGCGCATGTGCATGCGTGCTCAAGATCCTGAGAGGAGAATGGAGGAGAAGGGATTGCGGCCATCACCCCTGGGGGGGGTGGTTTCTTGCTTTCTATCTCTCTGTCTCTCTCTGTCTTTCTGGCGAGTGCATGCACCCTATAGCAAAAACCTCTCCAAAAAAAAAAATAATAAGTTTTGGGACCAGCAGGTGGCATAGTGGCTAAAGCGCTGGATTCCCACCTAGCCAATCATAGTTTGAGTCCTGGACCTGGCGGCTTGAAAATCACACCAGGTATGTGTGCGTATGTGCCCCAAAATCTGGAGAGAAGAATGGAGGAGAAGGGATTGCAGCATGGCCATCTCTCATGGAGACTGACTTTTCAATTTCCCTCTCTCTGTCTCTTTCTGGTGAGCACATGTGTCCTGTGGCAAAAACCTAAAAATAAACAAAGAAAGAATAAACTGGGATGCAAGCTCAGGACCTTTCTCATGTGGGCCCAGTTGCAATTTCTCTGCACTACCACCTGACTCCCATCTAGCAAGTTGTAAGCTCCTCTTTCCTGTTAATGACCACTGTGGGGATATGATGGTATGGACGAGGTGGGTTGTTTCAGGGGTTGTAAATAAATCTGCCCAAAAGAGTTTATGGGAAGATACATGCAGTCAGTGAGTTACAGGAGAAATTTATATAGAGAGATACATAGTCAAGGAAGGGGGTCTTCTAAAAGTTCATTGGAAATGCGTATTATGAAAAAACTATGCATGGACTTAAAATTATTTTTGTACCAAAATATACCTTAATTTTATTTTTTTCACAAACTTCTCAGTCCTGTTGTGTATTCAGAGAGTTCAGGTGGTAGGTTGTTATAATATATGCAAAGTAGGATACACACTTTGAAGGTGATGCTGGAGGACTCACAGCACATAACACAGACTTCTTGTCCTCAGTCAATCTTAATTTTGTTTCCTTCTTTCTGATCTTTATACCTCATTTCTTTTCTTTCTTTCTTTTTTTCATATATAGCTTTTTATTAAAAAAAAAACTAAAAACAAACAAACAAACAAAAACTAAACCTCTCCTAAGAGGGTCTCTTCACACTGCAATCCTTTTTCCTCCATTTCTCTCGCCTGTCAAGATTCTGGGCATAAAAGCACATGTGTCCAGCATGTCTTTCAAGCCACTGGAACCTTGAACTGTGGTCAGCCATGTGGCATCCAGTTCCAGTGCACAGCATCAAACCACAGTGCTATGGGGGCTAGTCCCATGTATAGTTTTTACCTCACTTATTTCTATTACATTATCTGTGACTTTTAGAATTATATTACATAATAGAAATCATGGGGTAATTTTAAGTTGTCACCAACATCCTGGGTTTGATAACCATGGAGAAGAGTGTATTTATGCTTTTGTTACTTGATTGGATGATATTGTACTTAAAGCCCATCCAACTTTGTCCTGGTGTAATTATGCCATAAACTAAAACAATAGCATTGTTTTCTTTTTACTGTCCATTCAAAGATAAAGCTATATTATTGACAAGCTAAAATGTCAAGTGTTGTCATATGTTGAAAACAATGGGTCATAATTAAAGTTTTGAAATCTTCTAATACTAGTGTATGAACCAAAAAATGGTCATTAGGTTTTTTTGGTGAACACAGAATTTTAAGAGCTTATATTTTGGGAAACTAGTGTATGAACCAAAAAATGGTCATTAGGGTTTTTTGGTGAACACAGAATTTTAAGAGCCAATATTTTGGGACAATTAATTTTGGTACTATATTTTATTTTGTAAATAAACCCCCTGACTATAATGTATTTGTTTAAAAAATGTTAAAATTGGAGTATGATACAATTTAATGTATCTTAAAATTATTTCTCAAAGACACATTCAAATAATTCTGGACTCTCAAGAATCTCAGCATTGTTGTGTCAGTCATTCTCTTATCCACCACAATGATGTTTATGAAATGGAAGTGCCACTGTAATTTTTCATAATTAATTTTGTATTTGAACAGTAAATAACATGAGTCATAGCTTGTCTGATGACCCAATATGATGCCCATTAGCCACATGTAGCTAAATTAAATAAAATCTGTATTTTAGTTTCTTAGTCACTAGCCACATTTCATTTGCTCAGTAGCCACATGTGAGTAGGGGATACCGTATTGGACAAAGAGGATAGAGAACATTTTCATCAATACAGACAATTCTATTGGACAGTGCTATTCTAGAACATAAGCAGTTGCTCATGTAAAACAAAGCAAATCACTTGGTGTGATTTCTTTTTTACCTCTTCTAGTTAGTGAAATAAAATATTAAAAAAAAAAGAATGAAGTAACCAACCCAAATTGTTTCTCCACCTCATTCCTTCACTTTCATTTTTGTACATCATTTTCCCTTTTGGAATTGACCTTGAAGCTACTTAGAGCTATCTGGAATTGGCTATGGACAGCTGCCTGATTCGAATCATGTTAAGATTTGCTCAACTAAAATTCCTTTCAATTAAAAAAAGAGAATGAAGTAGAAAGTAAGAGGATTTGTGTTTCTACTATTATTTTTTGTTTTATTTTTAGTTATTTGTCATATATAAAGTGGTGGCTTAACTATAGCTGAATGTGAGCCTACTCTCTGCTCAGCTATGGTCAAAACCCAGTTACTGCTGAGTAAAGCAAGCCATGCTACGAAGGAGAGGCATTGTATGTCCCCACTTAATATATACCTAGTGTCTGCACTCTATGACTGAAACTAATTGACTAAAGGATATAGAAACACAGTATGTAGATGTAAATACCAGATATAGTGTGTGTAAAAGAGGAGGGTCTGAGACAGGACATTTGGGGAAGGGACAGGGAGGTAAAGCATTAATGGCACAAATAGGTGTGGTGTTATCTGTTGAAGATATTTTGTTGTTTTATCAACACTAGTAGGGAGAAATGTTCACCTGTTGAAATATTCATATCGTAAGACAAATAATAATGTGATTGAATGTATGGAAGAAAATGAAATGGAAAAAAAAAAAAAAAACAGTGGGGAGAACAGTTATCTACTGTTGGCCCATCAATAAGTTCATTTTCCTGATGTGCAAGCAGTGATAGGACGGTACTTGCCAGAATATGTTTTTGCAGAAGTGTCATCCCTGGAACTCATAACAACTCCATGTAGATCCATAATTGTTCCTTCCTAAGTCTGGAAGAAGGCAACATTAGAGAGACACATTGGTGAGGGAGCACAGTGCAACAAAGACCTGGAAAGTTCTGACTCCTTAATTCTCCTCCTTCAGTGATCTTGTAATTACAGAGTAAACTTTGCTGTAGAAATTGTCTTCTCCAAATATATTTATTTTCAAAGACCTTGTATTAATTCAAGCTGCATTTAACATTATATGTTTATAATGTGCATTGCTTTTCTTTATTATTAATGATATAGTTTCAACTTATCTATTAATATAGAAATAGTCTGGAACTTTTCTTGGAGTGAGAGAGGGAAAAGTCGTCTGGAAATATAATGTATTTTATAGTTCAGTTCTGTTATGGGGAGAATCCATCTTTGCTGACTATTGATTTTTGTTTGTTTGTTTTAGGTTGCTTGCTGTATTGAATATTGAGAAGGTAGAGTTGTTAAAACTGCATTTAGGTGGTAGAAATTTGCACAGATAACATGATTTATATATTATTAAAATAAGTATCAAATTAGTGGTGTATGTATAAATTTATTTCAAATTCCTTGCAATAAAAATGTCTAGTTTACAAGCAACTGCTTAAGAGTCTAAGAATTAATTATATTGAGTTGGTTAAGGGTTGTTTGCATACTATACAGAACTCACATGTGGTATATTTATTTCTAAATAATAAAAATGGAGACAACTTGAACTATTACATATAATCTGATAACAGGAATGGGTAGGAGAGATGTAGGAGCCTTTGAATGTGCAGCCTTCATCCTGCCTGCAATTAACTCCTCCTGAGTTAAGATGCAACACAGGAAGTATGGTCTGGGACATAGTCTCCACCAATCCCTACTTCAGTATGCATTTAATGAGGTCCCTTCAACCTCTTCAACTTACAATTAGAAGCTTCTCTTCTAAATAATGCCCAGAAACACACTAGCCAATTGATAGAGATTGTAAACAGACACCTCCAGGATACTCAGGTATTTGGGTAAAGGGGAAATACATGTAAACCCCACCCCCACCACCTCTGGAAAATGGTCTTTTCTACAGAATTATCATACTACTAAGTAAAATAATTATTTTCTAAAGCATAGTCTTTGGTATGCTGTGGTCATAATTAGGAATATAACTGCTGAAAAGGAAGGATTTCAGTAAGAGACAAGGGATGTACAAGGGAACTTCAAAAAGTTCAAGAAAAAATGGAATTAAGGCATAAATTCTGGTGTTTAAATATTTTGAAATCCACGCATAGTTTTTTCATAAATCCATGCATTGTCTGTGAACTTTCTGAAGACCCTTCATTCTTGGAAATCAAAAATCTAGGCTTTTCTTCCCAGAATTAATTTTGATGTTCAATTAGAAGATAAACATGTTTTATAGATCTTTAAATGTATAATTAGAAAAAGAGCTACCCTTTGCCACTTACCCTAATGGAAGTTTTATTTTAACTTTTAAAAATCTAGTTGACTGATGTAATTCCAAAATTGATCTCTTTTTAGTATATTTTACTATATGTCAACTTTGCTTCTAAGTCTCTATGTAAACAACTTATTCTACAAAAACAGAGGAGTAAAGAGAACAAATATTAGTTAATGATTAAAAATGATTTATTAAACAAAGCATTAGATCATAAGATATGAGGGTTCTTGAAAACACTATGTATGGATTTCAAAGTTTTCTTGCATTGGAGTAAATTGAGACTTTAATTCCATTTTTGGCAGGAGTGTTTTGAAGTCTGCTTGTAGTTTGAAGCATAAAGGCTTAGTAACTGTTTTGAGTGGCAAGCACTGTATTCTGTTTTAAGTCATTTTTTGGTTGTCATTGCAGCTATGAAGTCTTACACCACTTATTTCATACTCCTGTGGAGTGCTGTTGGGATAGCGGAGGCTGCCAAAATCATCATTGTGCCGCCGATCATGTTTGAAAGCCATATGTACATTTTCAAGACGCTAGCCTCGGCCTTGCACGAGAGAGGCCACCGCACAGTGTTCCTCCTCTCTGAGGGCAGAGACATTGCCCCATCTAATCATTACAGCCTCCAGCGCTACCCAGGGATCTTTAACAGTACCACCTCGGATGCTTTCCTGCAGTCCAAAATGCGGAATATCTTCTCTGGAAGGCTGACAGCAGTAGAACTGTTTGACATACTGAATCACTACACTAAGAACTGTGACATGATAGTTGGCAACCGTGACCTGATCCAGGGTCTGAAAAAGGAGAAATTTGACCTGCTGCTGGTGGACCCTAATGACATGTGTGGATTTGTGATAGCTCATCTGCTGGGGGTTAAATATGCTGTATTTTCAACTGGCCTTTGGTATCCAGCTGAAGTGGGGGCTCCTGCTCCATTAGCCTACGTCCCAGAGTTTAACTCACTTCTCACGGACCGCATGAACTTACTGCAAAGAATGAAAAATACCGGCATTTACCTCATTTCCAGATTAGGGGTCAGTTTTCTGGTTCTTCCCAAGTACGAGAGGATAATGCAGAAGTACAACTTGCTGCCGGAAAAGTCCATGTACGACTTGGTTCATGGGTCCAGCCTGTGGATGCTGTGTACCGATGTCGCGCTGGAGTTTCCAAGACCCACTCTGCCTAATGTTGTTTATGTAGGAGGAATCCTAACCAAACCAGCCAGCCCACTACCAGAAGTAAGGTTTGCTGAACTCCTTGGTAATTTTTTTTTTTTTTAATATAAAGGTCAATTTTGATGTTTGGAAGAGATAAGAATTAGTGTTGTTTAAAAACTAGTGCTACTCTGAAAAAACAATTAGGACACCTCGGAGCCTACCACGGACCCCTTATTGGTGGGTCCACTACATCCTTGGAACATATTCTTGCCTTGAATAAGTTATATCTGTAATATCAAAAAGTCACTCTGCCATATGGTCAATACTCTGACTGGGGACTAGATTTCTGATTAAGTAATAATTGTAGTATGTGCAGAGAATATAGTTGGAAGGTTCATTTTAATGGATATAAGTGATTTTGTTTTAAATAATCAGAGACTCTCTGGTCTACCCCAAAGGGTACCATCAAGGAACCCTAAACTTGCTGAACCCTAAGTTCAGCAAACTCAAATAAATATTGGCTCATTAAAAAAGTCATCAAGCATTTTTGCATAGAAAGATGTTATGACTTTTCCAGTCACTCAGTTTAAACCAAGTGAGTAGAGGTGGTTCTTTGAGAAGTCTTAAGCCCTTGAAAGTTAATGTCTATTAATAAAAACAAGGTAATAACTTTCATCAAAATAGGGGATAAGCTAATTTGAGTTCATAAGCAAATGTCACTGTTTTAAGGAAATGATTCCCTAATATCATTTCATTTCAAAGATAAGATTCATCACACTTTAAGGAAACCTGTCTCTTCTCTAAGTCAAACCTAAATTCTTTTTGCTGTTGAATCATCAGTGAATCTCTTGATGTTTTGTTCTCCATCCTTGATTGTTTTTTTTATTGGGTATCTCAAATTGGCAGAAGCCACACACATATGCATTATAGTGGGTTTTCTAAATCAGGTTGACTCTTAATATTTCATTTCAACATCTGATGCTATTTACCAGGAAAATTAGGGCTGGTTCCAGGATCTGCTCTATTGAAATGATTTCTACTCTTATCCCTGTAAATAGTCACTCACAAAATCTTTGCTAAGTCGTTGATTTCTACTTTTTTTTTTTTTTTAACATACGTATCAGGTAATGACAGTCTATGGGTTGGATTTCCTTATGGAGTAAAAAGGTGATTGGAAACATGACCTATAGACTTTCCCAATACAACTATTAGAGTTATATTTTTAAAATAATGCTTTTATGCATTCTCTATAACATGGAAACATAGACATGGCCAGATCAATAGACTGTACAGTCATAGCATTTCAAATAGAGGCTACAAGGGCACAGTTGTTCTCTCTGACACCAACTATAAAAGATAGTAATTAATCTCAGTTTATCTCAGCCATTTTATCCAAGCTCATTTTGAATCCTTAAATATTCTCTGCCAGAGTCACCTTGTGATATAGTACTCTCTTTCCTAGAGGTAGCTAAATCAGATTTTAGAGGTAACTGCTGAAAGATTTGGTACGCAAGTCTGTTTTTACCTTAAGGGAGTCCTTTGTAATGTAATACAAATCAGCTTCTTTCTTCCAGGTCTTTTCCCAGCTAGAGCACTGCCCTCTGCAAGCTCTTCTGAGTTTGTTTCAGTCATATGATTAAAGAAGGGTCAGTACTGACAAGGAATCTTCTGATGGCCTTTCTTCCCCTCTGATTGTCCCAACTAGTTTCACTATAGATGATCCGTACTGTACAGTGGTTCAATTTACAATTTTTGACTTAGCGATGAGTTTATTGAGATAGTAAATGCTTTTTTAGGCTTAATTGTATTCAACTTATTGTGGGTTTATGGAGATGTAATTCCCTCATAAATTGAAGAGCTTCTGTATTTTGTTTTACTTTAAAACAACTTTGGAGTGATATTTGGAGCTTCACATAAAGCCATACTCACAATGTTTTGTGATTTGCCATAAATTCTGGGTTCACATTGTCTTGATCTACTTTGTAGGCATCTCTATTTTTTTTTCTCTCTGAATTTTCTGCAGCGATTCTTTTGAAAGTGTTTTCTTAATTTACAGTTGCTTTGTACCAGTTAGTTGGACCCCATACACAGACATATGTACATGGCATGTGCATGTGTCCTTGAGAATATGTAGACATAGATACCCATGTAATGATCTTTGGATCCTGTTAGCTTATGCATGTGAAGGGCTATTTTCATATTCTTTCAGTTATTGCTTACTCTGATGAGTTTTTGTATGATTAAGGACATACATCCTATTAAGATTTCTCCAGTTAGTTTATCTAAGATTGAAACAAAAAACAAAAACAAAACGAAACTCTACGTATAGGTTCTGAAAGTTAATGAGTTTCTCAAATATCTGTATTATTTACAGGGCACGGTTATGACACTAAAACAAAAGTACCTGGCAAGTAGCCTCTTAGAACACCTGACTCACTAATAATAGCTTAATTGTAATTGCCTTCGTATCTTACGCTGGGGATGGATTAAGTTTTCCAGATGTCTGGAAATGATTTGACAGTGGGATTTGAATTTTATAGCCTGGGATAAATGGCTAGGAGAAATTTCTAAAAAAAAAAAAAAAAAAAAAACAAAAAAAAAAACAACTTTCCTCATGTCTGAGAGTAAAGAAACTAGAGAGCATCCAGCTTAACTCCATTTTCTTTATTTTTTCTTTCACAATACAGACTAGACAGAGCGAATAGTTCATTTGTTTGTCACACAGTAGCTGCAAAGAGTTTGGGGGCCTTATCCAAGGCCACACAGATAGTTCGTGGGAAAACTAGGTGTTATGCAGGTTATTTTGCTATTGATTAGGGATTCTGTCAAGATACCTGTGTCTCTTATCACTCCATTTAGTCATCTGCACACTTATAATTGCCTACAAAGCTATGCATAAAAAGCAGTTTATCCAATTTTTTTTTAAATGCCAGGGGGCACAGGAGCACACATGATGGAGAGAGAGAGAAAGAAACAGAAAGCACCACCTCAATAGGGGTTGGTCACATCACAATCCATCTTCTCCTAATTCTGTATCCCATAAGGCACCTGACTTTACAAGAGCCAGGCATGTTTTCTTTTCTTTTCTTTTCTTTTTTTTTATTTTATGACAAGTTTATTGAACAGTATTCAAGACTTCATCTTTATCAGCAAAAACCTCTGCCGAATGATGCTAAAGCAGTAGTATTTGCTGGCAACGTTGTGGCCATACTGGCACCAAGCCATCTCATTGTGAGCCAGGCATGTTTTCTAAACCATCAGAGCCAGGAAGCCAACCCTGATTGACCATGTGGAATCTGGTTTCCTCTGTGCAGCTCTTTAGTACTGTGCTAAGGCTAGCTCCTCTCTAATCTTATTTGTTGGGTATATTAATCATTTAGAGGTCTTAATACGAGAGGTAAAGGAAACCATATGGACTTTTATGCTTTTGAGATTAGATTAATGAAATCAGCCAGATTCAAATGCTTTTGATGACAGATTGTTGTATTGATATAAAGTGAGGAAGTTGTGTGCCTTGATAATACAAGCATTTCAGAAAATGTTTTAGAAGTATGCCTCTAAGAACCACCTCTCATCAGATACCTGCTATCTGGCTGCTTAGAGTAGGAATCTTCGAAAGATGTGGATAAAAGGCAAGAGGTCCATTCTGTGTTTTATTTTCTATGTTGTTGCAGTCCAGTGGAGAACATGGGTGTTAAGTGTTGGTTTGTCCAAGAAGGAGATCTATATAGAGATCCTATATGAATAGGAACTTTAAATTAAATGTCAATGAAATAATGACTTGAAATAAGGAGTGATTGATTGCAACTCTTAGTAGTTTTACTAGAGGGTAGAAATAATAGCACAAAAAATGGTAGGTACATGTTTTTTTAGGGAATCCACCAGTTATTAAAATTGATATGTTTCAAGTTATAATTTTAGATGATTTCTCATTGGCTAAAGTGGATTGGCTCTGCCAGGTGGTTAACCTCTTCTACTTTTCAGCTTCCTCAGCCTTTAACTTCAGTAGGAGCTGATAGATTATGCTTTAACTGTAAGTTTATTATGTGTCTTTCTTCCTAACTTGAATGTGGGTGCCTCTTGGATGTGTACCTTATTTATTCACTTTTGTATCTTGTGTGCCTGAACAATGGTAGGCACTCAATAAATGTTCATATTAAATAATATTAAATAAATTGCATCAAATATAAATAGTTGCCAAAAAATAGATGAGTCAGTTAATAAAACAATGTTGTTAATATTATAATCATTGTTCATCCACATTTACTTCTGAATACCATTCAGCTGTTAAGCAATTTAGAATTTTAGGTTAAATTCTTCTAATGAATTAGAATAACTACTCTAATGTTATTAATATTGAGAGAAGGAGAATTTTATTACCCAATTGGTGAACTAAAATGATCTCTACTCTGTCCCAAATATGCATATAAGCAGGGTTAGTAGTGAAGTCAGGCCAGCTATTGCTGTCTTGAAAGGTATTTTTGAGGTATTAGGACACTCATGTGGTATGTTTCAGAACTGTTTTACTGCCAGGTTAGGAGTGTTAAGGACATCTTCATTTTGCCATTTGTGGAGACATTTTCAATTTAGAGAAACGTCGTCAAGGGCAGAGGTACAGATAAGAGATAAACCAAGATAACAAAGAGCATCGGGCCAAAGATGGTCATGAGATACTCACTGATCCAGCTTTGCAGCTGGGGTGGAAAATAAGGGCTATTTTAATAATATTAGGTTTTTGGGAAAGTCATGATATATTTTTTATGTTTTTCGATGCAAAAGAATGTTATGACTTTCCCAACAACCCAATATGTTACATTTCAAAGTTTTTCGTTCATCTCATGTAATTTAAAGCTGAAGGTGGAATTGTAACCAATATACCATATTGATTAAGTCAGTTTTAAATAAACATCTAGTCAAAACTTACATCCTCTACAATTAGTTTATCATTGACAAATAGTTTATATAGACTGTCTTCATCTATATAGTAATACTATGCTGTATTGGTAACCATGCAGGGATCAGAGAATTGAGGACTGTAATATTTGAAAAAGACTGTATTGGTAACCATGCAGGGATCAGAG